ACAACATCAGCCCCGGGCTCCGATGGGATCACGAATAAAACGCTCAGAAACTTAGACGACAAATCTATCACAGCCCTCACCGAATATATGAACAAGTGTTGGGAAAAAGGTAAGATACCCAAGCAATGGAAAACGGCAACAATCATAATGATTCCCAAGCCAGGCAAGAAACTAGATCTTGATAATCTTAGGCCTATTTCCCTGACGTCCTGCATAGGAAAGTTATTAGAGCATGTCATCCTAACTCGCCTGTCAAATGATATGGAAGACAATGAGCTCTTTCCTCATACGATGGTAGGCTTCAGAGCGAAACTGTCTACACAGGACATTATGCTTAAGATTAAACACCAAATAATTGATTCGGATCTCAATACACACGACACAAAGGTAATAGTTGGCCTAGATCTTAAAAGGGCATTCGATAATACATCCCATAAAGCTATACTTGCCAATCTTCAAGCGTTAGGGGTAGGAAAAAGAGTATACGATTATATAAAAGACTTTTTAACTGACCGGACTGCAAGAATAATACTAGGCGAAGCAGAATCCCAAGAGTTTAGTCTGGGCAGCAGAGGTACGCCGCAAGGCTCAGTCCTATCCCCCTTTCTTTTCAACGTGGCCGTGATAGGTCTCCCTACCCGACTGAAGGAAATTCCAGGACTCCACCATAGCCTCTATGCAGATGACATTACCTTATGGGTAGCAGAGGGTAGTGACGGATACATAGAGGAAACTTTACAGACAGCAGTGAATGTTGTAGAATAATATGCCGTCCATACAGGATTACAATGTTCACCGGAAAAATCGGAACTTCTCTTCTATAACCCGACATGTAGGGGTCGGAAAAGCATCCAGGAAAAACCTAACATTAAAGTCTTTGTTGGAAAAACGCAAATACCTACGGTCGAAAGCATAAAAATTCTGGGACTCCGAATCAGCTCAAACGGGCACAACGGAGAGGCGATTAGAATACTTGAAACCAGTGCGCAGCAAGCTATGCGTCTACTTAAACGAATTGCAAACCGGCACTATGGTATGAAGGAAAATAATATGATAAAACTGGTACAGGCTTTTGTCATCAGTCGTATTGCATATGTGATTCCGTACCTCAGACTGCAAGTGGCCGAGAGAGAAAAGATTGACAGAATCATTAGATGAGTTTTCAAACAGGCGATCGGACTTCCAATTACTACATCTAATGATAAATTACTTCAATTAGGGCTTCACAACACATCAGAAGAGCTTATAGAAGCTCAAAGAATCGCACAATATGAAAAACTAACGCAGAGTAAAACAGGTAGAGCTATACTAGAGGAACTGGGTATAAACTACGCAAATCAATTTGGCGCCAAAAAGGATATCCTGTATGAAATCAGGAAATGTTTAGTAATCTTACCGATACCAAAAAACATGCACCCCGAACATCACAAAGCAAGGAGAGCTGAAAGAGCGAAAAATATACATAACAACGTAAAAGATTTACCGGAAACAACATACGTAGACGCGGCCAAATACAAAGGAAATGACAACATGACTATAGCAGTAGTGGACTACAAAGGAAATCATAAGGTCAGCGGCTCGGTGAGAACGAGCTTTGCAGAAGAGGCGGAGGAAGCAGCTATTGCAATGGCCATAGCATCCACCTCGACTTCACTCATTGTTAGCGACTCGCAGACGGCTGTGAGAAACTTTGCACGAGGGCGATTATCCCAAATAGCTTCAAGAATATTGGTTGGATGCAAAGACCAACGAACAATAGAAATAGTTTGGGCACCCGCTCACTCCTCCTTGCCCGGCAATGAGGCTGCACACCAGACAGCTCGAGGACTTACAGACTGAGCCTCTGGATTGCCCTGGTCGAACGGGGAGGACGATGAGAGATTTGAGCGGATGACCACTTACAGAGATATTACACAGTATTACAGGCTAAGCAGGAAAATTTATCCTCCCGCACACTCGTCATTGAACAAAGGACAGGCGGTGGCGTGGCGCCTACTCCAGACCCACACGTTTCCTAGTCCGGTAACAATGAACCGCTGCGTGCCGGAACTTCATTCGGACAAGTGTAAATTTTGCCACAACAGGGCGGACTTGAGCCACATTTTATGGGCATGCCCGCAGGCCCCCATGAGAGGCGAATTTCCAGACGGGAGTGGATGGGATGCCGCGCTCCTCAGCTCTGACTCTCAATTACAAGCCCGCTTAATACGGCAGGCCGAAGACGCCGCCAGGGCCCATGGGATCATGGCCGTCGTCTAGGTTTGGTCCTCCCTTCTCCTCTCGCACGTGAAAGGGGAAGAGGACCTTTCTGCTAATTAAATAAAGTTTGTTCATCATCATCATCAACACAAGGGTATAATCACATCCTTTTCAAAATACCCGCCGAGAACAACAATTCGTCCATAATACACCAGATAGCGTAACATGTCCACAAGCTTTGCGTGAAAGAAGCACTATCGCCACTATTGTGCTTACCCACATCGTGAAACTACGTAGCGGTTGCTTCTGGGCACTTACATTGTCCCATGACGCCTAATTTGCCCAGTGTCCTAAATATAGGACGGCTAGGTTTAGCGCATTGTAACTTATCACTTCCAGCATTTTGAACAACACTACTGAGCCTAGTTAATATACATACTCTTATGAGGTGGCCGACACATTATTGAAGTTTTTCGACAGTGAATAAATTGTCAGTACTCACTTTTTCCTCGGCTTCATGGCGTCTTCCGTACAGCGTGTGTGCTCGGACGGAGAGTGGAGTCCACCACGCAGCAAAACGAAGGGCAAGCACAGTGTAGGCTTGCACACATCAAGGCGGATGCTTGTTTGAAGCATTGTAGGGTGGCGCTACTGTTCATTAAAAAAATAGAGATGTTAGCGCACATTAAAAAAGCGTCCTACATGTAGGACACTGGGCACATATGGGTTAGATTAAATGAGCGGCACGCGCACACGGCAAAGCAATGAAGCAAAGCAGTCGCACAGAATTTTCATCTAACAGGTCACAACTTCGACAACCTCCAACTATACGTCTGAATAATGCAAAGTTTGAAGTACATTTGAGAATGTAGGATGTAAAGTACATTTGAAGGATATAAAGCCAGCAGGTGTAAATATTTCACAAGGTGCTCTTGAGGCCTTGCGATATGATACACACCCAACGGGAACCGCAAGTGTTAAGTCCTTCTTCAAGCGAATTCGTGAATTACCATTGTTAAGCGTTTCTTTCTTCTGACAACCATACTTAAGTGAAAAGTGTACATCACACTCCCCAATTATTTTTTTTTGCGGAATAACTTCTTCCTTCTAACTCGACCAATTCGTCATGGTGGCCTCTCATTGTCGTGACCTTCCTCCCCCACTTTCTCATGTTGCCCTCTCCTCCAACTTTGGGTTGGAGGAGACGGTACCAAAAAAAGCGCCAAGAAAATCAGTTGCAGCCTAAAAAAAAACAACAAAAAAGACCACAGAAAATTGGCAGCTACCACGTACAGTATGAATCAATGGTATGCGAAGCACGAATGAGGAAGGTTGGTATGTCCACTTGAAATCAGCACAACGTTACGAGGTGGACGTAAATTATGCCATACATGATACGCATATCATGATTATCATGTTCGGTAGTGTCATTTACCTTCGTAGTATATTCACCAGGTGATAGCAAATTTGTATATGTGAAGCAAGTGAAACGGCCGTGAGCTCGCTATAAGCGTGGTGTGTAGCCATGTTTTGCGTGACATGCATGACATGATTATCATGTTTGGACATGTCATTTACCTTCGTCGTCCATTCACGTCACCTATTACCAAATTAGGTATATGTGAAACTAGCAAAACGGCCGCGAGCGCATCATGAGCATAGTATGTTGTTATGTTGTTACATGGCATGCATTTCATGATTATCATGTTTGCACCAGTCACATACCTTCTTCAACCATTCACGTGATGTAACACCAAAATTGGTATATGTGAAGCTAGCGAAAGACTGCGATATCATGTTTGACCTGTAATTTACCTTCGTCATCCGTTCGCATCTCGTAATAGCAAATTTTGATATGTGAAGCTAGCGAAACAACCGCAAGCGCACCATGAGCGTGGCAATTATCATGTTGTTAGATGACGCGCACGTCAGAATTTCCACGTTAGGGTGTGTCACTTGTGTAGACATGTCATACCATACCAGTTTTGCAACATGTCATGTGAGTGAAACTACTGCAAGAGCAGCAAGACCATGAAATGTAAATCATGACATTGAAGACATCCATGTCACGCTTTTTGTGTTATGACTAGTCACTTATGCTCGTCATACAGTCATGTTGTGCCATGTTAACTTTGATATCGATACCATTATCAAATTGGCCATGACAGCCGAAAGTCATAGATGGCTTTATAGATAGATAGATAGATAGATTTATAGATAGATAGATATATAGATAGATAAATAGATAGATAGATAGATAGATAGATAGATAGATAGATAGATAGATATGATCTAGGTCACCGAAGTTTGCTAAGAAATGCTTTGAATTTAAATGTCGTGAAAACAACTCCATTTGTCGAAACGTGGGCTCCTGCACCCCCTCTCTGTTCACGTATTTCTTATCGCAATTTTCAATCTTCCCGATCTTGCCACTCTTTTCGACCTTTACCTCATGTGTTCAGACCTTTTTGCATTAGTATTGCTGTGAGCAGCTGACTACGTATGGTGCAGACTGCAGAAAGTTAAAATCAAAATGTGTGCATACCATCTACATGTGCCTTTGTGCTATGCAATAATTTCGGTTGGAGCACTCTAATCTATATAAAGTTTGCAATATTAAGCGGAGTGTTCGGATTTCAATGTTTTCAGGTCTATTGATGCTGCTTTGAGCTGAAGTATGTTGCGAAGTAAATAAATATTGTAGATTATGTGTTTAGCGGCATTTCTTTACCTAGTCGCAGTTAAAAAAAGACTTGTCAGTTGGTACCATATTTATTATTGCTGTGTGTTTCCTTCTACAGTATCCTGCATTTTCAACCAATCAAAAGTTCTAAACGGAAGACCTCGAAGTTTTTCTCAACCTTGTGTGAGAGTGTCATGTTCTGGCGGAAGGCTGTTCACTATCGGGTACGGTGAAAAAGTCACTACGGTACACATTTGTATTCTTCTTCAATTGGTGACTACGGCCCATGTATGCAATGTCGATAGGGATAAACTGAACCTGCGACATTAAGTGATATTAGGCCGGCACAGCGGACAACAAATATAGTTTCCTATGCTATCTGTGCTGCTTCATTCTCAAATAGTATCATTTTGTTAAGGCTAGAAATATACTAATCGGCAAGCCGACTTTTCGTAAGGACTGATTGTCAGAGACATGTCCCCAGGTGTGAGACATATTTCGGTGAAAGTTGCCGGAAGTTGGAAGGACTGATACTGTAGTGCAGTTGATAAACACCATGCCCGTCATTCATGAAGTGTCGCACTTGTGTCATGATATGCATTTAGATAAGTGAAAGTTAACTTGGAGGCTGACAGCTTACAGCCAGTCAACTTGGATGTGTAATAAGATTTGGAATATACCGGTACCAGCAGTGAATGAGGAATGGAGCATTGTTTTTTTGGTCGACAGTTTTCTCTGAATCCTTGAGAAGCACAGGACACGCTTAGGAACACTTGCACAAAAATGAACATTTTCCACGTCAAGCCTATTAGAAGGCTTGATAGTTCTCCGGCAACATGATGAACGCACCATTAAAAGGTACATGTGGCTTAATCCAAGGGAAAACCTTATATATGAATTGTGATGCATTTGTATTGATGTGTTATAAAAATTGATATATTAGCGCCTCATATGAGCAGGCTTCAGTTTAAAAGAAATGTATGGGCACAAATTGCTTGAAATAAGTATTTCCTTTTAAAGAATAATTTAGAGACTGAACAGCAGCCGCCAACTTTAATGTAATTGATCTTGAAGGAAGCACTATAAAAAAAGTGCATTGTATGTTATCAACAAGAAGTAGCAAAGTACTCCTTGTGATCCTTCAGGCATTACAATAAAAAGTTTTGTCTCTCAGAATGAATAACTGCTAGTTATTCGTTCAATAGGCCCTAGCCCACGCGATAACTGCTTCTGGTGTGAGTTATGCGTGGGCTAGGACCTACTGTGAGTTTTCTCCTAGTAGCTGCCATTGCCTAAATGTTATTGTCAAATTGTTATACAACAGAACTACATTACTTAACCAAATTTTTTTCGTTTGGTTGCAGATGCTCGAACAATACCGCACCTAATAGAAGGTGTACCCAACCCATTAGAAAGCCCTGGCCCTATTGTTGCTATTGTGACCAGTGGGTTTAAATAACACGGATATAGTTTTAGGGGCCTATAAAGTAAATTTTGATTGTGTATTACTTCAGGTAGTTAGCTACGAAAGAACCATTTTCAAACCTGTACCAGCAATGTATTTCAGAATAAAGAGCCTTTGTTGTGTCTATTGCGCCTACAACGTACCCAAATGCTTTTTGATTGAGCAACTTTCTCGAGACAAGCTATACATAGATAAAAGCATTCATATGCGTGACCTCTTAGCACACCATTTCCATACTTTTGTGATAAAAGTCAGCGTTGTTTTGTGTCGCATTTACCTGGCCACAAAAGCATGCCCTTCTTGGCGAAAGAAATGTGAAGTAGCGTTCAAGAAACGCAGCGACTCTTTGAGTGGAGGAGCACGCCTTGCCTTGCCTTTGTCAAGTCGAGGAGAGCCCTTCAGTGAAGAATCTTTGTGAATACGGGGGTGAGTACCAGTGAACCCACGTGGGAAAAATGTTTGTTAGTCGAGCTCTTGTTGGACGGGTCTGCATATAAGGGGCATTTATTAAACGAATTGATTACTATGAAAAGTCAGACCATATGTCACGGATTGCCTATGTTTATAAAAGGACGCGCAGAAAGTTTGATGCACGAAGTTTGATGCACATTTGATGCACATTTGATGCACTGCATTCTAAACTTGCCAAGAGTGCCATTTCTATTTGCATGGAGAGAGCACTAGCAAAACCCTAACCTCATAAAATGAAAGAGAGTTTCATTAATTAAGTCACGCGGCTGCGTTAAGCTGGCTACCTTGGTTCTGTCGTTGTTGCAGTGTCAGAAACCTTCCTTCAAAAACTGAAGAGATCGAGAAGAAATAAGCAGCCAATGAAAAAAAAGGCTCACGGTTATGCCGTACATGCACAAAGTTCCTTACAACCTTAAAAACGTGGGTAACTTCTGGTGTTCACGGTGCCCCGCAAGTTGTCTAGCCTGTGCCCAAGGCGTTCTACTGCACCGAGGCCCTCCTTGTGTGTGAAGAGGCACGCAAGACCGTATGTCGCCTGCTCTGTTGGTGAGGTGTAGGAGACCCCGCTTAGTTGTAGTAGGGTCGTAACATCAGCCGAACAAGCCTGCCCATAAACAATGGAATTGGGGAGCATGAATTTTCAATTAAAAATAAACTTTCGGCACATTTGCAAGTGTATTGTTGCTCCTGCGAGTGTGGCCCCAATTTTCGAGTATCCATTCTTGGAAAGAGTAATGATACCTTTATCTTTCGTTTTAATTTTAATTTTTCACTTTTACTATTACAATTTATCTCCAAAAGCGTCCCTTATACGTACTCTGACGTCATTGTATGTTGGTTTTATTAATATTGTGTGCCTAACGAAGAAAGCAAGCCTTTAAATTTACACTTCCGTGCATTGATAGTGAAGGTCTGGACCTGGCAGACTTGTTGCCTTGAAGTGGCATGAGAGAGATAATTGGTCAGGTGCCATGTTTTAATAACATCGCGTACTACGTAACGCCAAACCGGCAAAACAGATTGTTCTACATTCGCTGTAATGACACCTTGTGGCGCGGACTGTCGCTGCTACGTTTGAATGCACATATATAGCCTATCAAAAGGGCTGAGGGATGACCGGCACTGTAGCTCAGTGGTAGAAAATCGGACGCATTATTCGAAGATGGCAGGTGTGGATCCAGCTGGTGGCAAGTTATTTTCGTCCACTTTTCTGCTTTCCCAATTTCATGACAGTTAATTCCAATAAAACCCCCTATACTTTCCCTGGTATACTTGTCCATTAGTTTTCATTATTATTGTTTCAAACATTGTTTCAAACAATCAAAACAAGCCCACATTTATACGCACTTGCTCACACCAAAAAGCAGCGAGATTTGTGTGTTAGCGATACATCTGTTGCTCTGCATGGTGGCGAAGTAAATGCCTTCGAATCTTTTTTTTTTCCCTTTCGTGGCTTTATTTTCATCACATTTCTTTTTGGGAGTCTTATCGCGTGTTTTCAGACGAGCATGGGATGGTGTGCCGGTGCATTGTTGCTACGGTTATATCTGCCGCTGATATTCTGAGAATAAACTTAGTGGCGAGTGACGCCCTTTCTCTTCTTTCCATAATATTTCTCCTTTGATGGTACTCGTATATTTGTATTACAGTAAACAAAGTTTAGAGTTGTTTTGATTATGCAACCTACTTTTTGCAGTAGGATTAGTGATGGGCAACTCACCCACAAGCTATCAAAGTTTCAGATGTGATACACTTCGACAATTTTTCTCGCTAGGCGCGAGTGGTGGATGCTTGTTAACTGCAAGAAAGGCATGCAGTCACACTCAAGCCTTGCCAAAGGGTGCCACGGTGGCCTTGACTTGTGTTGCGCTCATTGTTGGGGTGGTCTCTTAAAGGATTCATATAACATTTTGTCAAAACGATCGGAAAAGTCTGCCGATCAGTTGCAGAAACTTTTGAGAACAGTAGAGCCAAACATTGCAGTGCTACAGGCAGCCTGAATTCAAATGTAATTCAATAACAAATAAGTCAGCTAGGAATCGTCCCCTCTTCTTTCGACAAATGATGCTATAGATTCACATGGTCACGCCGTTAACATAATGTCTGTGGCTATTGGCTTATTTGAGCCTCTTAGGCTGCATGGCTACTGTGACCTCCATGGGGTGTTTCCACGTGCCTGCGGTCGTGATTACAATGACAGTAAACAGCGTGTTCAAAAAAAAAAGCAAGAACAAACTAATAAAGAAAAATGCTCAATATCAAGATGCAGGTTTCTTTCCTCTCTTGCCACCCCTTCCCTGTGTAGCTTTTAGCGCACTCAGTCATATGAAAGTATACAGAAAGCGTCTGAGGAGTGCGACAAATCCCAGTAACTCAGCTCGTACTCGACGGATTCTAAAAAAATGGCGGCGGTCAACTTGTGAGGCAACAATCACTTTTAACGTAGCCATTCTGCTATTATTTGACAAGTGTTGAAAGGTAAATTTAACCGATTGTTCCAGCACTGTCCTGTTTTCCCTATATATTTTATTTCTTATGACAGTGCAACAAAACATCAGTGGTAGTGCTGGGCACGAGAAAGGGCGTTCGGTGTCTCACAGAGCAGGGAAGAGAAGTAGTAACAGGTTTTCAGAAGAATACAAAGTTGTCGAGGCATGCTGATATCACAATCATATTATTTTTTAGGGACGAAGCTCCCTAAAGCATGGGTCTGTACATCCTCCGATGTATTTATTAGTAATAAATAGCCACCGGTGGCACATACCAACTCTAGAGCGGGTACGTGCCACAGCGAATGCGAGATGGGAGAGGGGGGTACTTGGAGTCTTCACTAGATGGACGCACGGACGGACGCATGAACGGAAGCACAGACAAACTAGCAGATGGACGGACGGATGAACGCACGAACGGACGGACAGACGGATGGACGGATGGATGGGCGGATGCATGGACAGACGGATGTACGCATGGAGGAGCGCGCAAATGGTCGCGCGGACGGACGGAAGCAAGAATGAACGGAAGCACGGGCGGGCTGATGGACGCCTCACCCAACTCATCATCATTCACTCCGTGGATATTCTGTGATTTTTTAAAGACGATAGTCTTTCTTGGGGACCTTCGACGCAAAAATTCTGGTCTATCTGTCTGTCTGTACACTTGTCTGTTTGTTCATTATTAACAGCACTGGGTATTTGAAACGGCCGACCTCATCCACAGCGCCACCGATCCTGCTCAAACTTCCGCGCTGATACTTGTGCAATTGTCAATTAAAAAGCCATTATTGCGCATGTCTGGGGCACCATAACAACACTATATATTCTGCATGTACGCCTTTTACTAGAAGAAGCATACATAAGTAATTTTAGGACCGTAGCACTTATCACGCTGCGCTGACCATGCAACGCTTGCTTGAAAAGGCGAGTGTATCACACGCTTTGCAAAGACGAGACGGTGGTGGCACGTACCCGGCGCCTTGTGTTCTACACCGCATCACCTCTGAGACGGGCGTGCACACCCGTCTCAGAGCCATGCGCTTCGTTTTCCTAGAAAACTTCCAGATGGCGCTCATGCCTCATGTGTGACATGACTTGATGCTCTGGTTCGCCTCCGCTGCACGCTCGAGGCACTTTAACGTAGCGCTTCCAGAATACCATTCACCGATTTTCTTGCGCAGAACATCAAACAAATGTTTTGTTCACTCTCTTCACACACAAGACTATCGTCTTTCGACGACATTTGCAAATTACCATGCAGATACAGGGCCAATTTTCAGTTTCTTTCATTATATTTTTCTGCACCGCTCTTGCTAGGGCATTTCTGTCTTCAATTCTCTGCCCCTATGTAGAGTAGCATGTAGGCGTCTTGCGTAGGCCAGCAGAATTCTATGATTTTTATCAAAGAGCTCTCTCTTTTTCTCTCTCTTGGATAGCTTTCATGGAGTGTCAAGAAAGAGGAGATCGCTTCATCATCAACACAGGGTGGCGTGGGACAGTGGTTGATACACTCTTCCTCCCGCATCGCCCGAAGGGTACTGCCAGACTAACTTTAATTAAAAGTTTTTCAATGCTTCATTCATGCGTTCGTTCATTCACTTTAGTGTCGTATATTGATCCTGTTAGCGGTGTTGTGGTACTACTTCAATAAAATCCCGAGCGAGCGCCCCCACCTGTGGCGAACGATAGTCTGACAATGTGCGAAATGGGGCACTTATTAGGTCATGGACCAAACTTCAACACGGAAATGGAAGTGCCTCTATAAGGGATGCACAGATGCGCTTCTAGTAAAGTGCTTTAGGGAATACAGACATGTTTTCTATTTTTACACGAAGGAAAAATCATGTATTCCGTAATACTGTCACAATGCAGAAACAGCAGCAGTCGAATCCAGGAAACTCACTTTAACTGCACCAGAACACTGGCAAACTAATCGGAAGAGAACCTCGTCTTCTTCTCTCGCTGCGCGTGTTCTTAGTTGTTCTCTTGGCGCTGCATATTCAATGTGGCATTTGCCCCCCTCCTGAGAGCAGCGTCCCAATGCTCTTCTACAAAAGACGGTGCAGTAGATGTATGGTGTAAATCAGTCCGAAAAGTTGGGCTTCATTCGAACAACGTGCACGAGTTCTGGTTTTTGCTGGCGAGTTGT